AGAGAGAGAGAGAGAGAGAGAGAGAGAGAGAGAGAGAGAGAGAGAGAGAGAGAGAGAGAGAGAGAGAGGTTGGGTACTGCGTGCCAAAACTGAAACGACAATCACTGTTGACCACGTAAATGTCACTCAGTAGCGAACTTTTGGGGACACTTTCGTCTTGCATATGGTTTTCACCGCTTCATAAGCTTGGCCATATTTGACATGGTATTTCTCAACAAATAACGGAAAGAAAAAGACGAATGTCCTCTCTTGTTCACCTATACTTCGGAAGAAACAACATGACTGTCCCGTGACGACGACAGATAGAAACACTCTCTCTCTCCCTCTCTCTCTTAGCAAACATAGAAACTTAGTTTGCATTTGTTTCTTCTACAATATGTACTTGTTCAAATAAAAATAGTCCTCACGCTGTTTTGCATTCTACTTCGATCCCCATTGTGGTTTAGAGAAGCGCGGAACAATGTGGACTATGTCTACAATAGTGTCGGTCAAAATGACACTACTGTGTTGATGTCCATTCAACTTCTCCCATTTCAATTTCTTGCAACTTGTCATGTGTTGCCGTTCACTGTCGACCTCCTTGTACCATTGCACAAATCCGCGGTTGTGTTCCATATTACCGCTGTCCGCGGGTGCGTCCACGACAAAAAACATGGCTACTGATGCAAACCATGTGCATTCGTTGCCTGCTCTAATTGCGACGTCACTGTGCACTGGTCTCCCATGAAACTGTGGCGACGCTCTTGCAGTTTGAACAAGTGTGCCCCTGTTTGTTCCGTCCTGTACGCAAGCGATGGCCAGGTGTGTCCGTATGTGTATAAGCAGGTCGTCAGAAGGAGGTTGACAACCATTCTCCACCATATATGTCGTAAGCGCAACTCGAAAATCACGTCTGCAAGGAAGCTCTTCGAGTATCTTACACGCATGATTGTCAATGCCTTCTCCCTCGCGTATGTACTCGTCATCGATGTCGAACCACCGTAGTTGCAGCATTGCCGTGTCGCATAGTGCGAGGGTTTTCATTCCGGTGGCCATACAGTCTGTCACGGACGACCGATTCTCAACCGTTCTCTTCCTCCGTTTCCTCACGATCCCGATCTCTTCGCGCAACGCCAATGACCGACGCACATGGTTTACAATCTGGGTTGAAGCTTTACGCTTGTTTGATGGCAGGTATGGCTGCTTGCAGAATTCCCTGTGGTGATGCTCCCAAACATCTGCCGTGAAAGTGTCGGGGACACCGGATCGCTCAATACACGTTGTCAGATGCATGAGATCGTGCAACTTGGGGAGTTTCCATGTTGATGGTTGATATTTTTTCAAGTTTCCTTTGATGGTCGTTACGAAGTCCGTGATCAAAGCGTCGCATTCATCGAGCGACGCACCATTTAGTTCCTTCAGGATCTCTGTTTGCGGTAAGTGCAACAACTTCTCAAAGGCCGCGGTCCTGAATGCGTCAATCATGTGCAGGAATATGTCGTGCTCGATTGTGTGCATACGGTCTGGTTGCAATGCCAGGTGGTAGTCTAGCTGAGGATCGTCACCATTGGGGCCCCTTTAGAACCCCCAAAGGCCGTTCTGTTGAACATGCCTATGCATGTTCAACTCCGACATTCGTGCTTTCGCTGCACGGCGAACATCGATGTCGTCGGCGGTGAACACATCTGCTGTGAGGTGTGTTTCCAGCATCTGTGATCTCCTGCAGTCTGTGAAATCGGCTATGACATCAAAATCGTTTTTGGACACGGTGCATGTCGGACATACACCAAACTTCACAGTTGCAATCGCACATCGTTCAAGGTAGTCCTGGATATAGTTGAGGAGGAAAGGGTGGACAGTTATGTCCCCGAATCGCGTTGTCGGTATCATTATTCTATCATGAGATGCCTCCTTCGCAGACTGCAACACCACTGAAAGGGCCTTGTGCAAAATGATGGTCTTTCGCTTTCTGAATGCGGTGGACTGCAGACCCCATCCTTTGTCACGCGGACGATGATGACGCATAGGAAGATAGGCCAGCAGTGTGGCTTCGGATGCGTGGTCGGCTAGTGACATCATCAGAGGGTACGCCGTATGTTTTTGACGACTGTCTGTATGTGTCGTGTCGAAATACAATGAAAGAGGGATAACATAACGTGGATTACCATTCCTATCCACACCTTTGTCCGCTCGAATAATCGACTGGATGTGATAACTTAGCGCCCCGCTGCATGGGCCAGATATACTGAGGTGCTCTGACGGCGGAGACACTTCTAGAGAAGACACCGTCTCGCATTTCTGTAATACACTATGAAAAATCGACAGAAATGTTGTTCGCCAGTCGCGGCGCCACAAGATGGCGTGCGCATCCCGTGGCCAATCGTCACAACGTAGATCCAACTCTTTCCATCCAGCAGCTTATGCTAGACTCTCTGCCCATGTCAAACACTCTCGACTATTACGATACGCAATGTCTCTCGTGCAGAATCTCGGGTCCGTGAGAAGTGACAAGAGAGCATCTATGTCGCTCTGCGACATACCGACGGCGCCCCTGGCGGAGAAAATCAATGCCGCCAGCTTGTGAGAGTTGTCAAAAGATTCTACAGGTTGCGGTTGCTGCTCTTCGAATGTCCCGCCCTGACGCGGGGACCCCGACGTCCTCGCTCTCATCGCTCACGAGATTCACTGCACCTATACTTGATGCTTCGACGTCATCGACCACACCCATCTCCTGGCCATGTGTTCTTTCGTCCGCCACGGCCGGGCATGCCCTCGTACGATGTGAGTTCAAAGTTCGTAATGACATAAAAGGCCTGCCACAGTCGCACACCCATGGACCGCTGTCCATTTTCTGTGCACGCATTGCATTCCAAAAACAAACAGAGCGGTGCGGACAGTGTTTTCGTTAGCATTTTGTAGATTGGTTCAGGTCGTTAGAATTATAAGTTGCAGAGCATATTTTGTTATATTGTGTAAGTGTCGCACATCCTCTTCTCTGTGAGTACTGATTGCCATTTTTGGTACGAATGGTTTGTGTCACGATAATTTATATGCCATGACATGTTCTATGGTCGTGCACGAAGAGGCAACGACTTACACATGGTACACGATATATGATACAACATTCATCACCACGGTTTTGCGGCTGGCCAAGTTCGTAACTATCCATCCACGACGTTTGTGAATGTGGTATGTGTTTTCCATGTCCGCGTGAAAATGATTGCACCTCGACACCTCAGCTGACCTCCGCATAAACTTCCAAAATATTTTACATTCTACTACATTTGAATTTAAATTACAGAGAATGCAAAAAAAACACAACATACACACATTGGTCATCACAGGGGTCTGATGTATCTCACGTACTCCAAAAGGCAACAAATGATGACATATATCGTAATAATCATCAAATGATTGAAATATTGTTCAATCCTGTGTCTGCACGCTTTAGTGAACTCTCTCTCTTTTGGAGAGGCAAACAACAGGCAGCATTAAATGTAACCCGCAGATGGATATAGAGGTTCTAATATAGCTACAACTCGACATATGAGAAAGAGAGAGAAACAAATATATATATATATATATATATATATATATATATATATATATATATATATATATATATATCATCAAATAGAACTGCCCGGTAAACCGTAGGCAGAGAG